CTGCCCAAAGATATCTACATATGATCCATGTCAAACCCTCATACACCACAACTAGAAAGAACAAAACACAGAACACATTACAACATACTACCAGTAAACAGCAGGAAAGAAGAAGACATTACTAGGGACCTACTAAATTCAGGATGGCTGCTTCCCAATTTCACAGACCCAGTGCGGCGTCAGGAACCATTTTCATGAAGGATTGCAGCAGCGCCCCCCACCCCCTATGCCTCTGATTGGCTGAGGGGCCCTGGAAGTCCTGACCTTCCCCAGAGATTGACAGGTGGCCCCAAATTGGGGCTTGTTAACATTACAATTAGTTGCTTTCATAGGTTTGATCAATGGATTACACCTGTGGAATGCATTAATTGATGAGTTAGCAAGCAGTTTAACATGGGGTTAATGACTTCTGAAGGCTTGACCACACACTGGGAGGAGAGACAGCTCTTTGCCCAGGCAGGTAGGCAGGCCTGCATCAGGGGCTCAGTTTCCAGTTTGCTCCCTCTCCCCTCTTTTCCTCCCCCCATGCTTCAGGACACCAGGGCTTCCCACCATTTTCTGTTTTGCTATTCCTTTTTTTTTCTTCTTTTCCTTTGATCACTCACTGATTTCACACCCTTTCACAATGCCCATACTTTTTCATGGGGAATGAGCTTGTTTGTGGGGACTAGCTGATTTTGCCATTTCCATGAAAATCACAAAATTGTGAATTCAGTAGGTCCCTAGACATTATCAGTGTTATTCCTAGGACAGAGATGTAATTGCTTAAAATATTTTTGGAGTCTCCTAGGGAGAGGATGAGGATCTATACTCAAAAGGAAAGGAAAAAACTCCACAGTCCTTACCAGTCGTGGGAAGAAAAAATAAATCACTGCTGACACTGAACTCTGCTCTAGCAGGGAACCACTAAGATTTCCAACTACCAGCAGAAGCATCAGAGCAACTCAAAATTCCTTAGCTGCAAAAATTCCCTCTCCCTCTCCTAAGGAGAAAGCTGAATATGACATATCTTATAGTTGTTTCCACACTAACATTTGTTTCACCTCAATATGAATTTCAGGCAGTAAATGACAATAAAGTATGGTTGACCTTTAATACAGTATATAACCTAAACCAATCTAGAGGATTAATTAACACAGTTATTTCATAGGGCATAGAAAATTCACCTCATATCAACTTTCTTTTTTCCATAGATCAAATGTGTTCAGGAACCATAATTATACATATACAAGACCCACTTTTTCATCTCCTCTCATTCGCTGCAAACAGTTCTAGACCTTGGAGAGCTCATGACACGTGCTGATCAAATATGCCAACATTTAGGGCAAAAGTGGTTTCATACAAACTGTAGAACCTTTTATCTTTTTATGTTGAACTGTTATACCAACTAAATGAAAATGGATCACGTTTGCCTTAATTTAGGCACCATGTATGGGAATCGTAGATTATTATCACCCCAAACCTTATAATATAGAGCATACCTTTGTTATCATGACATTTCCAATTTGCCACCTACATATTTTGCTCAAGGTTTTCTTGAAAACTGGTTAAGAATAAATTAAATCCATTTATTCTTTATAGTCTCAGAGACTGGGATTCCCTTTTCATGAAAATGTCATAGGAAAATACGTTTAGAAGATAAAAATTTTTTGCAGACTACAGCCAATGTGCATATCAACCAAATGATCTGGTGTGTTACCTGAAGCAAAAAAAGCTTCCACTTAGAAGCTAAACTGAAAATGACCTTGTGTTTTTTTTTAAAAAGGCTGGAAACTGAGGTCGTTGGAGTGTATTGTGATAGACAGTGCTACTCTCTGTATGGTTAGGAGGCATGTCTAGTATGTGGATTACAGCCAAGTAGGAAAAAAAACATACAATAAAAACACTGCATTATTTCATCTGAAAGCAATGGCAAATGAAATTTACTACAATTATGACTTTCATAAAAGACTATAAGGTTTCAGTAACTTTGTTTTGCCTTGAAATATGACCTGTTTTTTTTCAACTTAGTACCCATAAATTAAGTATGTTCTTTATTGGTCCTTTCTGGCAGGGACATAAGCAACAGTAACTATATATTCCCTACCAGGCAGATCCCAACAGCACACCATTTTGTGCAGTGTAGTTTAAAGAATATATATACAGAAGTTGGCTTAAAATTGACCGAATTACTGAGTCAAAGGTAATGAAATAGAAATAGGGCTTTGACTTTTTTTAATCAACAAATTTTAAATATGTAAAATAAAAGCAAATTCCAGATGATTCACTTTTGGAAGAAAATTGTTTTTAAAAAGAAAATTTACAAAAACACATGTTGAATGCATGAATATGTACTGTCACAAGAGTTGAATCCATCAATATTGTTACATGCATCCTCTGCTTGTTTCTATAATAACAAATTTCCACCAGAATATTTTGATTGACAGATTCTTATTTTTAATGCCTGTCTCTTTTAGGAGCAGCTTAATGTTAAAATGAAAAATAAACTTGGGGTTTCAAAGCAGGTGGAAAAACTCACACTTCTGATTAAAAAGGGAACTGCCTCTAATCCTGTGTTTTCCACTGTGCTTCAAAGTGTCCTATATATAGATGAAAACACATTTTGACACTTTTGAAACATTTAGAGAGAGAAAAATGTGTATAACTTACCATTAAAGTTTACAGCCCGGATATAACTAAGTAGCTCTTTCCCATCAATTGTGCTCATTCTTGGACACAGGCCAATATATCCAGGACAGATTTCTTTATGCATGTTGTGTAGTGCATAGGCCATGGAATAAACAGCATCAATTACGAATTGCACCTTTCCTTCTTGCTCATAGGCTGAATCTCTTGCAATTCTTTCTAAGCCTAAGAAGGACAGAGAAAAAGAATCAATTCACTTTTATTTATATCTATGCATCGACTACGACATAAATGATTAGAGTCAGATTAATAGATAAAATTAGCTATCCATCAGCTAAATAAAGAAGCAAGAAAAAATATAGCCATCTGGATTTACCTCTAATCATTGTGTACTGTGCCAGGTTTATAAGCAATGTGTGGAGTTCTGGGCAAAATATTTCATTACAAGAAAAAGAAAGAAAAAAAATATAGATTTGTATTCCGCAATCTCTTTTTCCAGTTTAGTACGTTTCATTGAACAGCTGGTTACTGTTATTTATAGGACACTTTTACAGCAGCCTGTTTTAAATGAAATTTAGAGACTACCTTAATTTATATCTACATCTATTGTTTGATCAAATATATTTAAACATGTTGAAAAGGTGGTGGTTTTTTCCTAAGTGTTGTGCTCATCTGTCTATATTTAAGAATGCTTATTTGAGGTCCTTTTCTGTACTTAACATTGAATTATATCTCAAAATTGGAAACCTTGAATCATACTTCATTGTATTGTCATCTTTTTTTTTCTCATAAAAACTGTGTTATTAATAACAAATGAAAACCACATAGAAAAATTTGGATTCAGCAAGATAGTTTTAAGATGAATGATTAGGGTGGATACTGTTGGATTGCAAGAAAGAACAAAAGAAACAAAGAATGAAAAGAAAAAAGGCAATCTTAAACAGACATCCAGGTTGATATTCTGGACCCTTAAAAGTTAAGGAGATATTACCACTGAGTTAAACATACTAAAATTTCACTTCTGAGGAGAAATGAAATCCAGCAGACAACAAATAACAGGATTGCAATCCTGGCCCATTGACATCAAAGGCAAAATGTATATTGAAGTCAAGGGAGTCAGAGTCTAATCCCAAGAATTACCTTAAATTCAGCTGGAGTGAAGTTACAGGTTACATTTAGACCATACTAAATCTGTAGAATATTAAGCGATGTTAAAGTTAGAATGTGCTATGAGCAGTTGTGCATTAAGGGTTAATAACATTTCTTGTCCTCACAGCTCTGACTTGCAACTAGAGGGCTGGGAGCATGGGGGTGGCTAGGAGCCAGGACACTTGGGCCGCACCCAGATGAGTGCAATCCTGCAGTATGTAGTGCAGCAGACATGTCTAAAGCACCACATACCACATGTTCCATTGCTCTCCATGCTGCAAGGGAGCAGTGCAGAGGGGTTTTCTGACCTCCAAATATCCAAGGGTCAAAAAAACCCACCCACAAAAAAAAACAGTGGCATATGTGGCAGCAGCATGTGCCACCCAAAGCCAGAGCCTGGCAGGACAGACTCACGCTCAGCTCCCAGCCAGGCTCCATGAAGCAGAAGCAACATGGCTGCAGCCCTGGGAGGCCCCCAGGCCCCTAGGTAAGCCTGATGGGGCCACCTCAGTGCTTGCCCCAGCCTCTCCTACGCCATGCACGGTAACTTGCCATGTGCCAGAAGACACGTGTCACAGGCATTCTCTGAGGACAACTAGGGGTGCCATGGGGTCTATATCTGCCCTGGATGGGGCAGAAGGACCTGGCACAGTGCATCGTGGAGTTCTGGAGGACTGTAAATTGCTGATATAATCTTCATGGAGCAGACTGAAGTTACACTAACATGAGCTAGATAGCATGGCCCAGAGTTAACCCTTGCCTGAAGTGGCATAACTTTGAGATGATCAGAGGGCACTTAACAAAAGTTAATGAACTTTAAAGTGTGAACACTTAGTGAATATTCCATTCAAATTCTTTCAAGCATGTTTACAAAGCTCCAAAAAGTTGTTACCTGCATCATTTACTCTTATTTCCCGACCTTATCACTTTTCTAAACCAGAAAAAAAACCCTAAAAAAATAAAATAAACTTGTCTCATGTATTTTGTTCCATTAACCTTAAGAGGAATACAATATTCTTTATATCTAGAAATACATTAAGTATAAGATCTTTCAGCCTTGCAACATCTGTTGAATCCTATTGGCCCTAAAGATACATCTTATGAACAAGGATGAACTGAAAAATTGCCAGTGGCTATACTTGTATGCTTTTATTTTATCAGATTATATCAAGCCCACAGTTCTGCAATGCAATGGTAGAGACAGAAAAATACTAGAAACTTTGTAGAAGTGAGCAAGTGTGTGTTCTGACAATCAGCAGTTCTTGTTATATCACATTTAGTGGCAACTAAGGATACTCAGGCACATCTATACATAGGGCAGACTGCACAGTGGTGCAATCATTTAGAACATGCTTAGTACTTGTTTAAGTAATTACTGGATGTGCAGTAACTGGCATTACTGCAAGTCCCACTTCCGCATGGATATTTTTAGCTGCTATTGCACAGTCAGGGATGTTAATACTACTGTGCAGTAGCCTCACCATCATGGTTCATGCCTGGTGATACTACATTGCTGTAGCAATGAGCTACGGTGCAATAGCTCATTGCTACGGTGATATAGCATCTTGTGTAGATATGCACAGTATCTTTAAATATCAGCTCAAAGACTTTATTTTTCTGCTCAAGGAACATTAGTTAAACAGTCACAATTTCTTGAAATGTACTAGTTACTTGAAATAGAAACCTTAGTCAGTTAAATGGGTAAGTTGCATGATAATGTCCCTGACTGGGTAAGCAAACATGTTTTTCTCTCCAAATACTCAAACTTTTAACATTCATTTTCCAAACACAGAGAAAGGGATTTGGTTTAAATAAGCTACATTTTATAAATCTAAACCACCTGGGAACTACCAGCAGTAATTTGTACTGAATACCTCATGATCCCTTCTGTAATTGTAATTGGTACCACATGAGGCTGAGTTGTAGCCTTGGCTGAATGGTATTGTGGCAGTGCACGTTTTGGTGCCTACCACTTTAAGGCTGAAAGCAGGCAATGAGCAGGTGTGGGTCAGCCCTGATGAGGCAGCCATTTTTATCCAGGCCCACAGGGCTGAGGCAGCAGTAAGCTGCTGGCAGCTGGCAGCAACAACACCCAGCTAAACTGCTAATGGGAACATCTTAGAGATAGGGGAGCAAGAGGTTCCTAGAGGCCCAGCAAGGCTCCAAGCCCCAGAGAGAAGGCGTTGAGCCTGAAAAGAGTTTGACCCAGCTTGGGAAGGGGTTTATGGTCATCAAGCCTACACTGGGGCTAGGCAAGCCCCTGACTTCAAACAAGCAGGGGTGAGGCCTGGGGCTCAGCTGAGCCCAGTTGAGAGTACAGTCATTTTATTAAGATCCCTGGGGCTCTAAGCAGGCCCAGTATGAGAGGGCTATATGGTGGGGCCCAGGAAGGGACCCCTGTTGCCTACAGAGGTCAGCTGCTGTGGCGCTTGGACCAGAAGACCCCAATTGTTCAATGCAAGAGGGCCAGGGCTGGGAGGCTGAAGGACAATGACAGTCAATGTGAGGGGCAGGCCAGGGCCATGATGAGCCACCTGGCACCCTGACTGGCCTGAAGGTGAGGCCAGAGCCTAAGGATGCTGAAAGTCTCCTCTATGGGGGGGACATCACTGTCTAAGGGAAGAAAGGCCCAGCGAGACAGCAGGCTGGACTGAAGGAGGCTGAAACTCAGCCTCTAGGTGAGAGGCAGCCAGTAGCAGCCCCAGAATGACATGTAGCCCAGCAGGGAGACCAGGGCATGTAGGCCTGCTTGGTTCTGGGTAAGACTGAAAACTGCACCCTGCTGAGGAAGGGTGGTCTGGTGGGGCTGTCTGTGGTGGGACCGTCCCCAAGAAATGCCAGGCCAGTTACCTCCCTGGTGAAAGGCGAGGAGGGGTGCCTCAAAACCCCAGCCCTGACATCCTGGTGGGTTATCCAGAACAGGGGATAGGTACAGGGGCTCGGCACATCTCCAAACATCTGAGCTCCATGCGGTGCAAGACCCTGGAGGAACCAGCGAGCAAGGCATATGTGGAAGGCCCTAACGAGAGGGCATAAGTGTGAGGCCCTGGTGAGAGGGCAGTTAGAAGACCCTAGCAGGAGGGCATGAGGCAAAACCCCAGGAGGGGGCAGTGAGGCCAAGGTTGATCTACGGACACCTGAGGCTGTAGTTGGGCCAGAGGCTGAGACCCTGGTAAGTCCTCAGATGTCATGAAGCCAAGTGTTGAGTCAGAGGGAGACCCCAGTAAGTCCTCAGAAATGGTGAGGCCGAGTCTGGGTCAAAAGGGCAAGTAGTTGGCTCTAAGCAACTACAAGGCAGTGAAAGTAACAAGTTACCCATAGATGGGCTCGGGTCAGAACTCCGCTCAGAGTAAAGTGAACTGGCTGGTCACCCTGCAGATGAGGGTTGCGGGAGAGGCCCAAAAGGCTGTGCCAGGACCAGGCAAGGAGAGTGAGTAGGCAAGCCTGATGGCCTATGTGGTTGCTCAAGGGAACAGGGCAGGTTGGGCATGGCCCAGTGAAGGTTAGCATGTAAGAGTCCTGGTGAGAGAGGGCAGAGTGTAATAGGCCCCAGTGAGAGGAAGGTGGCATAAATGAAGCCCAATGAGGCGGAGTGAATGGACGAATGAATGAGGCCTAGAAAGGGGCTGAGTTCAGTCCAGCCACAAGCCAGAAAATAGAGCAACTTGAGGATGCAATGTGCAAGGCATGGGACATGATGAGGGAGGTCGGAGTTGTGTACAGTACCCCCTGGCATTAGGGCATTAAAATGGGCAGACTCCCACTAGCTTTCTTTCTACAATTCCAGACAATAGCCACTATAATTTCTGAGGCTTAAGAGGATGCTCTCTCTAAATACTAATGTATAAAACATGGAAATTTACAAACATTTATGCATTGAAAACACAATGGTATAAATATGTTAATATAAAATTTTATCTTTGCTTAACAGAGAAATAATAAGTAGTCCAATTTTCTATATTATAAAAATAATGTATTGAGACATCCTATGTGGATAACCCAGTAGCAATATAGTCTTTCATTTGTATCTCTCACAGATACGTAGGCATAAATCATGTTACCACATACATTATAAA